CTGATGTGCGCCACACTTGGCCAAGTGTCCTTCAGATCCACACTTAAAGCAAGTGAGTGGGAGCTTCCTCTCTACTCCCTTGCCTATCTGTGGCTCTCGTCTGTGACATTGTCTACTGAAGTGGCCCAGCTTTCCACAGTGGAAGAAATTATGACCTCCTTTATTACCTTTGGGTGGCACTGTTTATGAATAAGACTTCCTTTTCCTGACACAGCAATAGCTGCCCCAATAATTTTGGCCATTCTCTGGTCTTTTTTCTTCCCTCTAGATCCCAGTTGTTAAAAGAGGGAAAAATTTAAACAAATATATAACAAATAATTTTGAACAATATAATCTTTTAAGTTTAAGGCTAGAAATATTAACAATATGATCATTTCTAATCCAGAGATACATGTTCCAATGCAGTTCCTATTTTCCATAAATGGTTTTGGTAAGAAGAATATTATAAATGTGGATACAGTGTTATTAGCATGAGCCGTTATAAATCCATTGACATCCTTACTCTAACTTAAATTTTTTTTAAAATTTAAATTTAGTATTAATTTCAGTAAAAATTTACAGAGGCTTTGGATCTCCATTCATTCATTGTTGCACATTTCTTCCCTCCCAAGCCTCCCCCCAGAACACTACCCTCTTGTAAAAGTAAAAGAAAAATTCTTTCATTGTTTCACAATCCCTCCCCCAGGTCTACTCCACCATGTAGCCATCGGTCTAGACTCCTGTCATGACAGAAATACCTAGTCACATATCTCTTTTAAACAGTTCTCTCCCTCATATGTTTCAGGGCAGTATACATTATTAAACCCATCTTACTCAGTCTCTTCCCAACGCCAAGGTCAGTCCTCTTTTACAACAGTGGCACCATGCAATATTTGTTCTTTTGTGTCTGGGATACTTCCCTCAGCATAATGCTCTCCCGAGTCACCCATTTTGAATAATATTGCATGAGTTCCTTGTTTTTCAATGCAGCATAGTATTTCATTGTGTGAATATACCACAGCTTCTCTATCCATTCATTTATTGATTGGCACTTAGGTTGTTTCCAACTTCTTACTATTGTGAACAAAGCTGCAATAAACATGGGTGTACATGGGATTTTGAACATTTCTTCATGTGCTTGTTAGCCATCTGAATATCTTCTTCGGTGAAGTGTCTGTTCATATCCTGTGCCCATTTTTCTATTGGGTTGTTTACCTTTATCTTGTTGTGGTGCTCAAGTATTTTATAAATTCTAGATATAAGTCTCTGACATGTCATTACCAAATACTTTTTCCCCAGTCTGTGGCTTCCCTTTTTACCCTGCTGGAGAAGTTTTTGGATGCGCATAGGGATTTGATTCTTAGAAGATCCCATTCATCTCTTTCATCCTCTCCTAGCCACCCAAGCAGATATATGCTCATTCATGTTTACTGCTGCTTTGTTCACAATAGCAAAGAGTATGAAACAACCTAAGTGTCCATCAACAAACTAATGGATACAGAAGCTGTGGTATATTCACACAATGGAATACTATGCTGCATTGAAAAAAAGGAACTCCTGTAATATTATTCAAAATGGGTGACCCTGGAGGATATTATGCTGAGTGAAAAATCTCAGTCACAAAAAGACTTATACTGCATAGTGCCACTGATGTAAAATGGGACTGACATTGGAGTTCGGGGGAGAATGAGAAAGATGGGATAAATAATGTATATACTGCATTGAAACAGATGAGGGAGAAAATTGTTTAAAAGGGATATATGATTAGGATTTACTGTCATGATAGGAGTCCAGATTGAAGGCTGCATAGTGGACTGGACTTGGGGGGAGGGATTGTATAACAGTGAAATTTTCTTTTACTTTTCAAAGGGAAGAACGAACTGCGGGGGAGGGGTGGGCAGGGAAAAAAGCGCAACAATGAATGAATGGAAATCCAAGGTCTCTCTAAATTGTCATTAAAATTAATAATAATAAAAATATATATAAAGGGACAGATAAAAGAATAAAAATGGGGCAGTCAAACGGCAAAAAAAACCCCAAAAAACAAAATATTAGTGTTCACAACAATCCTCCAAAATAGACTATTATTACCTTCTTTTATAAGTGAGGAAACTGAAGCACAAGAAAATTAAGTAATTCACCTAAGGTCACAGAGCTAGTGAGCACTAGACAGGGATCCTAGTTCAGGCCAGAGGCATTAAGTTTATCCCATACACTACACTACACTACACTTGTTATACACATGGTACAATGCACTGGTCTTCAGCCTGTGCCCCACCTTTCTGGTCACCACTCCTGCTTTGTCATGGGTGCATTTGTATATTGAAAGATTTCAGTGTCACCTCCTCCAAGAAGCTTTTGCTATTCATTGCTGGCTGACTGCCAGTACCCAAGTCTCTCTTTAGAAGTATATATAGTTTCTCTCACTCAGCACTTGTTACACATGTCATGATGATGGTTATACATTTACATTCCTCACTACAGTATGAGTTACTATGGACTTTACTCACTCTCTAGCACATATTATGAACCAAGTGAACCCTGTGGAAAATCCTGGGGATAAAATGATGAGTAAAGCAGCTAGAATTTGATTATCTGGGAGGCTGGGCTCTATGAGGATAAATGTGGCATCAGGAATGGAGGAAGACTCATCAACAATCTGTGTTATGCAGATGATACAATCCTGCTTGTGAAACTGAGGACGATCTGAAGTGCTTGCTGCAGAAGGTCAAGGACTACTGTCTTCGATATGGATTGAAGCTCAATATCAAGAAAACAAAGATTCTCACCACTGGGTCAATTGGAAGCATCATGATAGATGGTGAAGAGACTGAGATTGGTGACAGTTTCAGCTTGCTTGGCTCTACAATCAACACTTGTGGTACCAGCAGCCAGAGTTGGATAATAAACAAAGAAGACAGAACTGATGTCTTTGAACTGTGGTGTTGGTGAAGAATACTAAATACTGTATGGACTGCCAAAAGAACAAACAAATCTGTTTTGAAGGAAGGTCAACCAGAGTGCTCCTTAGAGGCAAGATTACAGGACTAAGTCTCGCATGCTTTTTTCATGTTGTCAGGAGGTGTTAGCCCCTGGAAAAGGACATCATGCTGGTAAAACAGAGGGTCCGAAAAGGAGAGAAAGACCCTCAGGAGGATGGGTTAACATAGAGATTACCAGAATGAGCTTAAGCACAGCAGAGATTGTGAAGATGGTGCAGGATAGGGCAAGATATAGATATGTTGTACACAGAGTAGTACACAGAACTGGCACCTAACAACAAACAAAATAGCTTCTTCTCTCACGGTCTTACATATCACGGGGAAAGTCTGCTCCTTTTATGTTGCTGTCCAGGTCACAGATCTGAGCACTATCCTTCACGCCTCTCTTCCCTCAGCCCCACATCAGATTCAGTGGATTATACCTTTTAAAGAAGACATAAGCATTTTTCACTCCCTCCTGTACCACTGTCACTATGTCCTCATATTTGTATCTCTGTAATAACTGGTGTCCAAGCTTTTGCTCTGAATGTGCCCCCACCTTATCTGCAAAAACCTTCCGAAGGATTCCCCTCCCACCCAAAGGAAGAGATAAGGTCCTTTCCATGCCCTCAGAGCCCTGCATTATCTGGGTCCCCATGTGGTCTCAGCTCCTTTCACTCTCGGCTTCACACACTCTGCTCCAGCCCCAGGAACTTCTTTCCTAGTCACCAAATGTACAGATACAGCCTCTGACTCAGAATTTGTGTGTTTGCTGTTGCCTCTGCCTCCTCCAGTCTTCATGCTCTACTCTCTTGGAGTCTTGGTTTAGTGTCCTCTTCTTGGTGAGACCTTTCTTGATCACTGAAGTCATGAAATGTTGGTTTGTCTCCTCCTCTAGTTTGTCAGATCCCTGAGCTCAGAGCTTGTTATTCTTGTTCCCTACTGTGACCTCAGCACATACCGTCATGTATGTTGTCAAGTATCATCAAGCAGGAACCTCTGCAGTAGGATTTGAACTGTATAGCAGGATTGGCATCCACATCCTAAACAACATGACTTTAGAAACTATAAACATTAAAGAAACGACAATAGTTATAGAACAGAGTTCAGATCTTTAGTTCATAGGATCACTATGAGTCATGCTTGACTCAACAGGACTTAACAACAACCCAGCACAAAGGAGTCTTCCAGCAACTAGCTATGTACATGGTAAGGCTACTAAGTTATAGCAAGAAAAGGCAAGGTCAAAGGTCTCATCATTCTAAGGAGGGTTTAAAGCATATGGCCACAGTAGTAAAGTTTTTATGATACAGAGGGCTAAAGACAGACCAATTTGGAAGAAGTGTAAATAGAGTATGGATAAAAATATAGAAGAATATGTTAAAACAAAATAAATCACAAGCAAAACAAGAATATATGGCAGCACAGGTGGAAAGTAAGGAAGCTCCTGTTGGTGGCTATATCCTCTCTATGTGCTCCTCTCTCCTTCTCAGCCCTTTCTTTCCACACCTCGGCTTCCCTATATAGACATGGCAGAGTTCTCTTCTGATTTCTGGGACTCTAGTACAATGAATCATTTCAGTGAAGAGGAAGAAGAGTCTGGGGAAAAGAAGGAAAAGGAAATGATGATTTGTATACTCAGATTAATCATCACTGGGGCCTTCGTGTGTACATGCGACTAAAAGAATGCCTATTAAAAGGTCAGCACTGCTCTGGCCAAGCCACCATCACTGGGGAGGGCATGACGAGGAACAGCACACAAAAAAAGAGCAAACACTGAGAGTGTCAGTTTATGAAATGCCAAAATGAGCAGATTAAAAACAAAACAAAAAAGCAAACATGTGGTATTCTATAGACAAGATTTGAGCTATATCGAAGAGTCGACAGTGGTTTAGCGGGAGGAGTGGGCAGACAGCAGCACATACCCTTCCTCAGTCTCGTTGATGATGTCACAGATCTCCATGTTCAACGTCCAATCCTCACTTTGCAGGGAGCCATCTGTTGCCTTTTCTGTGAAATCAGAGCAAAAATTGGTTTATAATACCCGTGGAATAAGGGGTTCTGGGTGAAAACTGGAAGAGATCAGAATCACCACATCCTTCTACAAACAGATGGCCAGAGCCAATAGAACTTTCATAAGAAAATACCCAGAAAAAAAGAGATTGAAGTCTGAGGGCCAATGTCATAACACTGCCACTCATTCACCAAAATCCAGGCTGAAGAGCTTATGACAGGCTTAAGCAATTTAAAAATCATTCAAACCTGAAGACTCTGGAACCACAATCTACCAGCCAAGTGGCCTTGGATCAGTTACCTGAGTGCTTTCCTTGGTTTCTCATTTGTAAACTAGTGACAATCACAGTACTGACCACAAAGAGCTGCCCCGAAGACTAGGTGAATTAATATTATGTATCTATCAAATGCTCTATTTAACTATCTACCTACCTATCTCTCTACACATAACATTTACATACAGCCTGGCCTATTATAAATAGGTAATTAGTGCATGTCCTACATGTGCATGCCATCAGCATTTTAAAGTCAGCATCAAAATAATATTCTGGATGAGTAACAGTGAAAGGGGCAGCACTTACTAAGCCATCACAAGGACTTTTACTACAAAATAACACACAGGACACTTAAAAAGAAAGAAGAGGTTCAGAAGGGCTTGGGCTGAGACCACAGAGTTGAAATGCAGGTACCAACAACGAATCTAAGGTCTATCTGTTGCTAAAGTCTGGACGTTTGCATGACACTGCACACTTCCTAGTAAAATCAAAGTTCAGATTTGAGATTGATCTTAGAGAAATCCTAGACCTCTGTATCCTAACCATACAATTAAAAAATGGTTAGTATCCTCATCATTTTAACATAAGCTCCATATAAACCATAGTTACATTGATACTCAAATAATAGGTGCCTCTGGGTTTGCTGGAGTTCTCATTCTGGAGTCCCTGGCTGACAAAAACTGCAAAGTGCTTGACTAGAAGTTGAAAAGTTGGCAATTTGAGCCTGCTCTGAAATATCTTAGAAGATGAACTTGGCATTGTGCTTCTGAAAAAGCCTTCAAAGTCTGACTCTACATACATGGGCTTAGTAGGAGTTAGGAAAACAAAAGAACTTGCTGTATTGACACAAATGTGAAGATTATTTAACAAAGATACTTAATACTCAAAGTATGTTTACAATAGCCTTCAATTTGCAAAAGGGGATGAATTACCAACCCAAAGGTTGTTGGTTCAAATCCACCAGATACTCCACAGGAGGAAAAAAAAATGGCAATTCACTGTCTTTAAAGACTCATTGGAGGGTCAGCTATGAGTCGGTTCTCACTCAATGGCATGGAATAACAACAACTGTTTTAAGCATGTCTCATTTTATTTTTTAATAATAAAGGATATAGCGAGAATCCAAGGAGCAGTGGTGGGGGTGGAGGGGAAGGGCTTAAATATAGGGTTGCACAATTTGATGGGTGGAGAGAAGGATTGGTAAAGGAAAGGGGAAAGATCCAGTGTGAGAAACAATGTATATGAACTTTGTTTAAAAAAATAAATGAATAAATAATTTATATATCTATATATATCTCGCCTATATTTTTCCCCCCTGCTTTCATCAACAAAAGATTTCTGACTGACTTAAAAAAGCAAACACACAAAAAAATTAAAAAAAAATAATAAATTTTTTTTAAAAAAAAGCAAACACACCCATACATAGTAAGACTGCCTTCCACTGAATGTAAAACACAGCAGCAAAGAACAAAGCAGTCTGAGACTTGGGAAGTCTTAGCCACAGTCACATAGGCTGGGCTGGCAGGCACAGAAGTAGGATTTACAATGTGATGACCAGATGGGAAGGAGTGCTGGTGGCACAATAGTGGATGTGCTCAGCTGCTAACCAAAGCGTTGGCTATTAGAACCCATCAATGGCTCCATGGGAGAGTGAGAGATGACCATCTGCTTCCATGAGATGCAAAGCCATAGAAACCTGTGGGGGCAGTTAGTTCCATTACGCCTTAGAGTGTTGTTATGAGTTGGTATCTACTTGACTACAGTAAGTTTAATTTTTTATAAAATGAAAAAGAATATGAGCTGGAGCGGGGACTCAGAGATCATTCAGAGTCAATCAGCTCCAGAGATTACCTAGACCTCCTCCATACCTACATTTTGCATGTGGAAAGAAGTTCATCAGATTTAAGTTGTATTGATTCAAGTCACTGGGGTAATTGAGGTGGGTGTGTGGGAGACAGTGAGATTGGCACAGGACAGAGCAGGGTTTAGGGCCTCATAGGGACACTATGAGTCACAAGCGACTCAACAGCACATAACAACAACAACAACAACAGAAACAAGTCACTAAGAACACCAGAGTCTACAAGGCAAAGCAGAGACTCTGAGAAGGGCAGCTGGGCCCTGGCTACAGGCTGGGGCAGCTAGACATAGTGAGGAGGCTGTTGGCAGAGGCAGGTACCCAGAAGAACACAAGCCTGAGGACAGAGGGTTGAGGAAGGCAAATGGAATACAGACTGGGTCCTCAATCTTCCTACCATGGGTTACCTCTGCCTTTAGGGTTCACACAGGGCAGAAGAGGCCCGCTTCTAGGAGACACAGAAAAGTTCCTGAGCTGGAACAGGCACAGCGATGGAAGATTCAAAGACTATTGCCCGCTGCTTTTACTGCCACAATCAGTAATTTCAACCTCTTCAAGGTGAACATTGACTACCAGGATCACAAGACCCCAGGGTGCATGTCTGCAGCCTTAAATCCAGCAGCCTCTTGTGGAGAACAAATCCTGAAAGCAGCAGCTCTGCCTGTGGACCAGAACTGGAAACCATTTGTTTAAGTACATGGGGATGCCAGCCAGCCAAAAAACCAGTCATACTCGCCCTCCTTCATGGAACAACCACGAATTTCATGAGGAAGAAAGGACTTTGCTAGGGACACTGTCTGGGAGATCTGATTAGAGGAAATATTAAATCAATAAAGCCTCATTTCCAAGTTCACTTTAGCAGTAGAATCCATTAACCTTACATTCACCCTCTAATAATGCTGGTAAGATGTTCAACGTCATGGTAACTTATACTAAGTCAGTACATTCTATTCAATTACCAAGGTTCTACGAATTGACGCTAAAAGACATCTACTCATTTTTATCATAAAGAACGAGCCCCAAAAGAACATTTCTCTCTGTTCATTTTGCTGAAAATGTCATACAAACATAGTTATGGATTTCTGGTGAAACCAAATGAGAGCAGTGTGGCTCACAGCAGAACACATGTCAGTTCATATTTTCCTCTTTTCATAAATTAATTCCTAGCAGATTACAAAAAAGTTCTATCTGACTGTCCCTGGAATTGAAGCTATGCTGTGTGGGATCTTTGACATGGTCCAACTCGCAGTCTTCATCTGTAAAAATGTACAGTCTCAGAAATCCATCAGAGGGTTACTCTGAGTAGGACTCAACTCTGTAGGGGTGGATTCCTTGGTTTGGTGCCCCACCTCCTACCACTGAAATTGCAATCTCTGGGTCATGAGAATTTAAAAGCGTTCTAGGAGGCTCTAATGTGCAGCTAGGGCTTAGGACCACTCATGAGAGCAGTATTCTAATGGAGTCATTCATTTGACATAGGTATATTGTACATCTCCATATCTTTTCAATCTATATGTGGAACAGATTATCTGTGAGACTGGGCTCTATGAGGAGAAATGTGACATCAGGATTGGAGGTAGCTCATCAACAATCTGTGTTATGCAGATGACACAACCCTGCTTGCTGAAACTGAGGAGGACCCGAAGCTCTTGCTGTAGAATGTCAAGGACTGCAGTCTTCAATATGGATTGAAGTGCAACATCAAGACCACAAAGATTCTCAACATTGGGCTGATTACAGCATTATGACAGATGGTGAAGATTGAGATTGTTAACAGCTTCAGCTGGCTTGGCTGTACAATCAACACTCGTGGTACCAGCAGCCAGGAAATCAAAAGACAAATTGCATTGGGAAAGTATGCTGTCAGAGACCTCTCCAAAGTACTGAAAAGTAACGATGTCAGTCTGGAGACTAAGATGCGCGAGATACAGGCCATGGTCTTTGCAAGTACTTGCTAAGCATCAAAAGCTGGACAATGACTAGGGATGACAGAAGGAGAATTGATGCCTTTGAGCTGTGGTGCTGGAAAAGAGTATTGAATATACCATGGACTGTTAGGGGAGAACAAACAAGTTCATCCTGGAGAGGGTGAGACCAGGATGCTCCTTGGAGGCAAGGATTCTGAAGCCTTGTCTGACATACTTTGGACATGTTGCAAGGCGGGATCAGTCCTTGGAGAGGGACATCAAGCTTAGGAGGGTGGAGGGAAAGCGCAGGAGAGGAAGACCTTCTATGAGGTGGATTGATTCAGTGACTGGGGTAAAGGGGATAGGTGTGTCAGAGACAATAAGATTGGCATGGGATAGAGAAGGGATTAGGGCTGTTGTACAAAGGGTCTCTATGAGTCGCAGGTGACTCGATGGCACATAACCACCACTACAGCAACCATTACATGACACTTGAGGGACTCAGAGGGTTGAGAGTCAGATGACCTTGGATCCAGTCCCAAGATTTTGAACTATAATCTTTTCTCCTCTAGGATTTACATTCTCTGAGGGACCTAAATCCAGTGACTTCCAAACTGACTTATGCCTACTTCTGTAAACTCCAATCACACCCTGTGAGTACACAGAGAAGGGAAAACACACCTGGACATTCACTGCGTAAGGAGGAGGACACATGCTGCAGGGCAAAGGAGGAACCATGGCAGGGCCTAAGGGACCTCTTTTCTTTGCTACCAGCTTTGAAGATATCACAGACTCTTTCTTGCAGTTTTACTCTTTCCAAGATCCCTCAATGTCTCCTGTCTATGCTTGGCTTCAGAAGCAGATTCTTAGCAAGTTTCCTTTGCTTCCAATGTCACTGGATAATTTAACATCATTAGACTAGGGCTCCCACCTGTCCCTGCTTTCTCTCTTCGGCTT